CTCTCCCTTCCTCTCTGTAAAAAAATCAATATAATATATTTAAAAAAAAAAAAAAACAGCGCCTTGAGACAGTTCCTTGAGATATATAATAGAAATTAACAAATTAATCAGAAAAGAAATAACATTTAGCTTAGTTTATCTTAACAATTTAAAAAATGTTTTAAAAAACTTCGTCTAGACTTCATCAAGAAAAGTTTTCCTCTTAATAGTGTCCTCTTGGTAATTACAAATAAAACCTTCCAGTTGTTTAAAAAAAAAAGGAAACATCTCCTATAGGTATTATTATCCCAATAACTGATTTTCATAAAGGACAGGACAGGCTACTAGATATCAAACTGCCCTCTAAATCAGAGATTAAATAATGTTTTGAAGTTTTCAGGTTGCACATACTTCATTAGCTACAAACTGTTTGAAGGTGTGAAACAATTATACAGCTTATACTGTGTTCAAGGGAGGGAAACAAAGAAAACAAAAACAAAAACAAAACCCAATGTAATTTTCAAAGAAAGAGAAGGACACGTTTGGAGACTCCTCCCCCCCACCCCCCCCAATGGATGCCGGAAACCACGAATAGTACCGAACCCTCTGTCTACAGACTACGGTTTTTCCCTATACAGACACGGTGTTGATAAAGCTTAACTTACAAATTAGGCACAGTTAGAGATTAACTAGTAAGTTACGACAATTATAACGATACACTGTAATAAAGCTTAAGTGAATGCTCGCTCTCTCTCTTCTCAAAACAACTTATTATACTGTACTCACCCTCCTCGTGACGACGACGACGACTGACGAGATGAGTGAGGTGAGATGAGGTGAATGACGTAGTCGTGATGAAGCGTTAGGCGACTGGGGATCGTCTGACGGTAAATCAGGATCACGGGGCCACGATGATGTCATGTTTCCCACCCCCCAACGTTAATGCCTTTTTTCCATCACTTCGCACTCATTAAGCGCTGTGGTCCTGCTGTTTGCCGCGTGAGGTACGACAGCAGAACTAGCACCATGTCGTTCTCCTTCTTCAGTTTCACGAATATAAGATTCGCTCTTACCGTTAAGTCAGCAACCTCAGGTTACGGGATTTTTTCCTTAAAGGAGGTGCTTTACGGCTGCACTCCGGCATACCGAAATCGCCAACATCACTATATTTGAGCTTTGGGGCAATGATTAAAAGTAAGGGTGGGTTACTAGAACACAAGCGCAGCGGTAACCTTGACCTTGGGTCTGGTAACCAAAATGGCGACCAAGCTTCTAATGAGCGGCAGCGTCTACAGCGAGAAGACAAGGGACCAAGGGATGAGTATCGCGAGATTTCACCGCAACTCCGAATGCCACGCAATTTAAAATTTATTATCTCTGGAATTTTCTGCTGAATATTTCTAGACCACTATTGAGAGTGGGTTAACTGAAACCACAGGAAGTGAAACCATGGGTAAAGGCAACTATGGTATCATAAAAATAACTTGCTATTTCGCCAGACTGGGCATCTGAATTAAGTCATTTCTTGGCTCTGCTGTGTGTACCATACATAGGAAGCTATATATAAGACCAGTATGTGTCCAATAAATCATGAGATGCAAGGACAAGCCAAAACTCCCATCTTCTATGAATGTATTAATAACAAGCACATGTGATCTCAATCAGCTGACAATGACAATGTTCTCTCAGAATTGTTTCATTTAGCACACTGGCTTGTAATGTTTGGTTTGGGCACCACCTAATGGCAAAAGTGTTTTTTAAAAATCCTAGGGTGGGGTGGGAACCTGGTGGAGGGGGGAAGAAATGAGGAACCTTTGTAATAATATGAACAATAAAGATTGATTTAAAAAAAAATAAAATAAAATAAATAAAAAATAAAAATCCTACTTTGTGCCCAACTGGTGTGACTCAGCGGTGGAGACTCAGCCAATGCACTAAGAGGTCATTAGTTTGATGCCCTGTCAGGGCACAACATGCCTGGGTTGCAGGCTTGATTCCCAGTAAGGTGTCTTGCAGCCAAGAGATATTTCTCTCTATCTCTCTCTATCAAATCAATAAAAATATTTAATTAGGGGGAAAATCATACTTTGCTTTCTGAGGCTTGGTAAGTTTTGTATTTTAGTTTATATTGATTTAGAAAATGTCTGCTTAAAAAATATATCAGCTCTTTTTTAGCCATTTGAATAGTTTTAAGTGTTCACTTCTCTTAAAAAGATTAAGTCTTTTCCATGCCTACTTTGAAATAAGCTGCCTTTTACAGTGAGAAATGTACCAATGAAATGAACATTCTATTGCATCCTTAAATATTTAGACTTAGCCTCAGAATTAAGAAACTCATTTTAGGCCCTGGCCAGGTAGCTCAGTTGGTTAAAGCATCATCCCAATATGCCAAGGTTGTGGGTTTGATCCTACTTCAGAATACATACAAGAAATCAACCACTGAATGCGTCAGTAAGTGGAACAACAAATCCATATTTCTCTCTCTCAAATCAATACATTTAAGTGTTGTTGTTTTTTTAAGAAACACGTATTAATTGAATAATTTTAATTAAGGGGTCTCAAAATCTTCTACACCAAATATCTGTATAGTCCCGTCATGAAGAAAATAGTTTGCTCAGTGGGTGTGACTCGGGGTTGAGCATCTATCTATGAACCAGGTCATGGTTCGATTTCCGGTCAGGGCACATGCCCAGGTTGTGGGCTCAATCCCTAATTGGGCGCAGTCAGGAGGCGGCTGATCAATTATTCCCTTTCATCATTAATGTTTCTATTTCTCCCTCTCCCTTTCTCTCTGAAATCAATAAAAACACATTTTTTAAAAGCTTTACGAAAAGAAAAGGGGCGCAAGATGGTAATGCCCTTCACACGTTCTCGGTGCCTGTGCTGCTGGGAGCCAGATGATTGGAGGCTGCTGCAGAAGTCTGCAGAGGCCTGTTTCAAACTGAAAGAGAAAACCGCCCACAGCAGCTTGGCGCGCTTCAGGGAAGACATGGGTGTTAAATGTGGATTGGAGCCCGCCAAACGCTCCCTGAATGTGGAGCGTTTCTGGGAGTGAGCAGTGGTGCTGGGAAACACGGCGATCACGTGTCAGGCACTATAGGGAGGTAACAATTCCAGGTAGGAGTGGCAGATGTGGACATTTCTCAGGATAGCTGCATCAGTGTTGACAACTGTTCTTGGGTGTTCACCTATGCCCAGCGCAAGTGGCACACCATGTTGGAGAACAGAATGAGAAAGCCCCTATTGAGGGCATCGGGCATCCAGAGGCGAGGCTGCTGCTGGAATATGAGGCCCAGAAAGTGAACTTAGTGGATGTGAGTTGGTTGCTGTGGTCCACACGCTACAAATAGATTTCCAGGGTCCAGTGGTACCTGCCTTTCCCCTTTGTGATGGAGAATTGCTGACCCATTTAGGGCTTGAGGTGCCTAAGGACCTCTAATATGTCCATCACTGGAGTTCCTAATCACACTCTGGGCCTGCTCAGATCCAAACCCTCACCCTTTCACCCCAACCTTGGCAGAACACACTTAACATAAAGAGGTATTAGGGGTTTAGGGGAAACCTAGTGGGATGAGCATGGATGTGAAATATGCATTTCCATCTTATTCTATTTTTATTATGGTGATACAACTGAATGCCTATAGAGGAGAAAGAGGATTGGGTTTAGCAAAAATAATCATTTGTGTAATTAAAGTTTGAAAAAAAAATAGCTTATCTTTTTGAAAACATGGTACTTATTAGAATTAAGTAATTTAACCTAAGTAGTTGTTAAAAACCAATTCTGAATGCATAAATAGTGAAATACACCCTTATAAAACCACACACATTTAATTTTTTTCAAGAGATCCTTGCCTGGACCTAATGTTTGTTTTATGATTATATAGTATTTCTGATAACAGAGCAGACAACCAGTGTTGTTGTTTTTTTTTAAAAAAAGGTATTTATTATTTACACCACTGAAATAGTCCCGTAAGAACAATATACACCAGGTTCATTTGAAAGAATCAGATTCCTTTCAAATACAAGAACTGTATAAACCAATACTGTCAACACAAAACAGTGGTCACATTACATATTTGCAGGCTTAAGCATTTCAATTTTTTTTTTTTTAAAGCTTATGGCTAGATATTTTCACTGAAACAGTGTTGCACTTAGACAAGATACAGCTAGAACAGAACAAACACTTTTGTTCATGCTTTTTAGGGCTGAATCAGTGATATGTCCCATTTTAAAATGTATTGCCTCTGCTTTTATGACAATGGTTTTAGGCAGAAATGTTTTTACTTAACCACCAAAAAGAAACATTCTTGTTCCTTAGTTTTATTCTTCAACCTTATGTTTTCTATTTTTCATACCATGACATATCGGTATTGCAGCTGACATTTTCCAGTTTGACTCAAACACTGACACACATACAACCAGACAGCTCACAATTTAGAGATGCCAATAGTGGATAAGAAGAGAAATTGTGTCTATGACAAAAGAATTTTTTTTAAAAATTGGTGCTTTTAAGCATACCAAACTAGGTTCCTTATTGAAAATACATGTGTGTGTGTGTGTGGGGGGGGGGGGGGGGCCCCGTATATGTTTGTTGTTTGTTTTAAAAGGAAAAGCAGTAGTTTCAAGATGGAATTGGTCTTAGATTTAGTTCAACAACAACACAAATAAGGCAGGAACGGAAAACATGTTTCCAAAATCTCAAAATGATATTACATTTCTGTCCACTTTTTTTGTGTGAGTGGTAGTTGGGAGAGACATCTCGTACTCAAACCTGGAGAAAATATTTTTTCAAGAGTAACAATATATTCACATAGGGGGGAAAAAAGAGATAAAATTTTTAGCATATTGCTGTGATCTTCAAAAAATATAAAATTAAATTTACAAAAAACTGGAAGACCAAGTATAAGTATAAGCAGTCTGGTATTTGCTTCAGTGTCCAGCACTATTATAATGATTTCTAGCATAAAAGCAAGAGTTCGTGGATCTCAAGTATCTTCAATAACTGCCAGCATAACTTGGAACTACTGTCCTTGCTTCTTTGAGAGGTATCTGCAAGAAATAAAAGACGTCTAAGCTGTACCATGCTAAACTCACAGTAACAATCTAACTCTCTCCCCAAAGGAAAAGTTTTAGTACCAAAACTTTTTTTTAAATATATTTTATCGATTTTTTTACAGGGAGGAAAGAAGCAGGGGGGATAGAGAGTTAGAAACATCTATGAGAGAGAAACATAGGTCAGCTGTCTCCTGCACACTTTCTACTGGGGATATGCCCACAACCAAGGTATATGCCCTTGACCAGAATCGAACCTGGGACCTTTCATTCCGCAGGCCAATGCTCTATCCACTGAGCCAAACCAGTCAGGGCAGAACCAAAACTTTTAAAGATGAGTAATAACTGTTAATAATCACTAACAGTTTTGGACTATGTGCCAAGCACTATTCTAAACACACACTCTATGTTCATTTGGTCCTCACAACAGCTCTATGAAAAGTTTTCTATTAGAACTTATTCCTATTTTACGGAAACAAAGAAGTTAAGCAATTCCCCCAAGTTCACACAGCCAGAAAGTGGCAAAACTCAGATTTAAAATAAGGCCCTCAATTATTCTATACTGTCTTACTTATAATTAATATTGTAATTTCTCCCCCCAAAAACCTCAAACTCCATTTAAAAATCTTACTTTTCTTACACAAAGATAGTGGGCCAAAGATGCTAAGGGACTCTGATTAAAAAGGAAAAGATGCAAATACATTAATTTATTAATCAAACAAACTTTCCTTCATGTAATTTTATAGGAATCTACCACTAAATTAAAAGTTTCATATCTCTATTCCATTTATAAGTTACCATACTCAGTGATAATGGGGAATGAGGCAAGAGTCCTTAAAACCATAACACCTAGACAAGTTTAGATGGTGCAAAACTTGCTCACTTCTTGGCATTGTGGCATTTATACCTACCATTTAGTTATATTATCTACAATTTGTTTTTCTAGTGGAATATAGTTCGCTAACATTACTGATACACAGATTATTTGTAGATAAATTTTTAATGTATTTTATTTTATGCAGACATTATTTTACAATATCAGATAGAGATTACAAACCCAAGTGATTCATAATAGAGTGGACCTACCTCGTGTCACAAAATAATTTACAGGTAGACTCTCAATTCCTCTCTATTAGAAGTAATAGAGATCTTAAGATATGGGTTTATTGACTAGTTAGAGGTTAAGACAAAAGGTAAAAATACTCTTGGATGAGATGTCATCAGATTAGAAAATATTCTTAGATTTACCCATTGTAAAATAAAAAGAGTTATGTGTAAAACCAGAGTTGCTAATTTTTTCATTCATAATGGAAAGAGAAAATTAACAAAAAATTAACACTCACCTTTCCCAATATTTGTGATTTAGGTCCAAAAAGTCATCTAATTTTGCTATTTCCTTGAGGTACTGAGTTAATTTTAAAAGTTCTTTGTCTTTCTCTCGATTTAGATGAGCTTTCATAAAAGGCCTTATCTATCAGAAAACAAACATTACCCAATATTTCACATTGTACAATGGAAACTGGTCCAAATTTACACTCATCTATCACTGAGAGTTAATTATATTAAAATATTAACAAGGATGTCAATATCAAAAATTACTTTTATATTACCTCAGTTTAACAAACCGATAGTCCTGGTATAATGTTTATAATACAAGTTAAGCGCACTTCCACCTAATTTTTCCTTGTTATCTTTTCAGTCTGGATCTGAAACACTAGCTTTCTTATGGCACTTGCATCCTATATGGTGTCTCTTCTTTGCATAACTGCTTAGACTTTTCTCCTTCTTACTAATTGAATAATTTCATTCATATCACTTCATTCATAAAGTTAACCCAATACAAGCTTGATCTAACAAAGGAGACAAATTTTAACATTGATGACTTCCATTTCAACATTTTTCTATGAAACTTTTATATAGCTAGGAGAGCATACATTTTTATAACCTGTTTTGTTTCTAATAAAAACCAAACCAAAACAAAACAAAAAAACACTGAGCATGGCTCAGAGATTGAGCGTTGACCTATGAACCAGGAGGTCAGTTTAATTCCAAGTACGGGCACATGCCTGGGGTTGCGGGCTCCATCCCCAGTGTGGTATGTGCGGGGAGGTGGCCAATCGGTGGTTCTCTCATCATTGATGTTTCTGACTTTCTCTCTTTCTCCCTTTCTCTCTGAAATCAATCAAAATATATTTTGAAAGACCTTACTGCCAGCTTCCTAGATAACTAGAATATAAGAAATTCCAAGATTTGTACCCCTTATTAATAAAATGTCTGATGACTTCACTTTTTTTTTTTTTTTTTTTTTTTTAACCAGAGTGGAAGAGAGAGAGAAAGACAGAAAGAAACATCGATGTGAGAGAACGCATCAATTGGTTACTTCCTGCATGAACCCCAACCAGGGCCCAGGCCAGGGAGGAGCCTACAACAAAGGTACGTGCCCTTGACAGGAACTGAACCTGGGACCCTCCAGTTTCCAGGCCAATGCTTTATATACACTGAGCAGAACTAGCCAGGGCTGATGCTTTCACTTTTGATGCTAAAAGTCAATGGTCAATAAGCTCATGTTGCTCCCCACAAATTTAATTAAAATTAAAACACCTGAATGAGTAGGCTAACCAAGAAGACAATGTTCAATTTTACATACATTTTTCTAAACAATTAAACTTTTCTTGCATGACCATAATGATAGAATACTTCCAAAAATTTATGAAATTCAGCAGTATTAAAGTGTTATTCCAGGTTATGTGAGCATAGCAAGTAGAATTGTCTTACCTTTAGTCCATTCTGTGGGTTCATTAGAAAATTTCTTCCTATGTCATCAAACATAATGGTGTTCTTTTTGCTGTAAAACTCTGAAAACTTCCCCCATATAACGCCAAGAGGCTTGACCTTAGAATAAAAGTTTAGATTTAACTCAAACTTTATCAATAGTTCACCCTTTCTTAAAAAGCAGCAACACAAAATGCCCTGCAGAACTACACACGTGTTCCTCTGTAAGGCAGGCACAGCTGGCTGTGTGACCAGACCAGACTGAGATACAACACACCTCAAAGCAGGATGTATCTCAAAATGTTAACTTTTGAAAGATCTGTTCAAACTGAACTGAACTAAACCCCATTATAAGATTTCCCATAATTACAACATAAAGATTCGGGGTCAAAGTAAGAGTAATAGTTTAATTTAAAAAGAACCTAAAAAAACGGTTTAGATATCTGCTAAGCAGACACATTACTTCCTGGACTAATACTACCCTTCAGAACTGAAAAATCTTAGTGATGGACAATGTATCTGGATCTTTTATTTATTTATTTATTTATTTATTTTTAATATATATTATTGATTTTTTTTTTTTTTTTTTTTAAAGAAAGGAAGAGAGAGGGATAGAGTTAGAAACATCGATGAGAGAGAGACATCGACCAGCTGCCTCTTGCACATCCCCTACTGGAGATGTGCCCGCAACCAAGGTACATGCCCTTGACCAGAATCGAACCCGGAACCTTTCAGTCCGCAGGCCGAAGCTCTATCTACTGAGCTAAACCGGTTTCGACTGTATCTGGATCTTTTAATACAGACTTTAAATATTTTCATACAGAATGTAAATATTACAGAAAAACTAACTTGTCTTTAATTCAGTGGCACAGGTGCATAATTTCTAGGGCATTTGATTGCTTAACTTCAAAAGCACAATAATTTGTAAGTTCTTGCTTTTATTTTTGAATTCTTAAAAGGAGCCTTCAAAAGGATTAATTCCTTATTTATTCATATCTGTTGGTACTTGCATTAGATCTGTAAGACTACTCAAGAAATAAGTGATTTCTCGTGGGAAGGAGCATTAAGGAGAGGGAGGGCCTAAATAGGAGGAAGACTTCTCTTATGTACATTTTATTTTGAATCATGTGAATGTATTTTACACATTTGGGGAAAAAAAATTTTAATAAATTAATTTTGAGTGGTGAAAGTATATTTTAATGAAAGCAAGGGTCTCATTTATAATATTAGAGCCACCGTGCATGAATTTGTGCATGGGTGGGGTCCCTTGGCAGGGCCAGTGATCAGGTACAATCAGGGTCAATCTGGGCCAACTGGCCAGGGGGAGGGACTGGAGGAGGTTGGCTGTGGGAGTGCACTGACCACCATGGGGCAGCTCCTGCATTGAGTGTTTGCCCTCTGGTGGTTAGTGCAAGCTATTGCAACTGGCCAACTGGTTGCTCCATTGTTTGGTTGCTTAGGCTTTTATATATATAGATGAGATTATATCATAACAGTAACCCTGACATTAAATAGTAGTACCGTATTTTCCGGCGTATAAGATGACTTTTGAAACGAAAAAAAGTCAACCGAAAATCGGGGGCAAAAGACCAAAATTGCACAAAAATTACCTGCAGATCTTGACGGCAAATTAAGTATTTTCTTTGAAGTGGGAGGTAGTCTTATACAGCAAAGATAGGCCTAAACCTATATTTTAACTGTAAAATTAGGGGGTCATCTTATACGCCAGAAAATACGGGTAAGTAAATGGTGACAATGGTTGACATTTTAAAACATTAAGTTTTGCCCTGGCCAGTGACTTAGTTGTTGGAGAGTTGTCCTGTACACCAAAAGGTTGTGGATTCAATTCCAGATCAGGGGACAAGCATAGGTTGCAGGATTAATTCCCCAGTTGGGGTGTGTACTGGAGGCAACTGATCAATGTGTCTCTCACTCTCTCTCAAATCCTCAGGTGAGAATTAAAAAAAAAAAAAAAAAAAAAAAAAAAAGTTAAGCTTTCTTTTTCTTCTATCATTTAATGTAAGAAGCCTATTTTCTTCTTAGTGTCCTAGCTACAGCAAAGAATGTTATTAAAATATTTTAATTTTGCCCAGGCCAGTTTTTCTCAGTGGTAAGAGTGCTGGCTTGTAGACCAAAATAGTCATGATTCAATTCCTGGTCAAGGACACATACCTGGTGTGGGAGACAACCAACCAATCAATGTGTCCCTCACATTGATGTTTCGCGTGCGCGCGCGCTCTCTCTCTCTCTCTCTCTCTCTCAAAATCAATGGAAAAATATCCTCGAGCCAAAACCAGTTTGGCTAAGTGGATAGAACATTGGCCTGCGGACTGAGAGGACCCAGGTTCGATTCTGGTCAAGGCCATGTATCTTGGTTGTGGGCACATCCCCAGTGGGAGGTGTGCAGGAAGCAGCTGATTGATGTTTCTCTCTTATCAATATTTCTAACTCTCTATCCCTTTCCCTTCCTCTCTGTAAAAAAATCAATAAAACATATTTAAAATATATGTCCATCCATCCTCGGGTGAGGATTAATAATATATATACACTAGAGGCCCAGTGCACAAAATTTGTGCCCTGGGGCAAGGGGGGTGTTTCCCTTAGCCCAACCTGCATCCTTCTCTCCAATCCGGAACATCTCTCTCACAATCCAGGGCCACTGGCTCCTAATTGCTCACCTGTCTGCCTACCTGATTGCCCTTAAACGTCCACGTGGCCCCTTCTCCCCCACTCCCGGAGTCTAACCACCTCTGCCTGCTGCCCTGGTCGCCCCCAATGGTCCCTTCCACCGGCCTGGTCAGCACCAACTGCCCCCCCCCCTTCTTACCAGATCGCCCCACGCAGCCTGCTGTTCAGTCATTTGGTCATCCCTCACTAACCCCCCACTGCCAGCCTTGTCACCCCAGCAGCATGTGTTCAGTCGTCTGTCTGGTTGTTTCAGTCATGACAGCCCCTGGCTTTTTATATATTAAGATATATTTTTCTTAATTTTACTAAAACTTTACTTGCCTCAATTTGTATAAACCCCTCAAATATTTGAAGACAAATATACATGAGCTGTCACAATAAACCAGATTCTCAGTTTTCATGGCTACTAAAGTCTTAAGAAATATGACAAAAGCTTTATAACATCCTAGGTTAGGAATCCTATATCCTCTTAAATAGTGTTGTCATTTTGTAGTTAGGTCAAGCCACCAGTTGGTTCCCAAACATGGGCTTTTCTCCAATGGCTGTTGCTGCTTTTCTCTGGGGCTTCATATATATTACCCCACTTTATCAGTTCCACATGGGGCACGGCGAGTCTGTTTTGGTTTGTTTCTAGTACCTCCCTTGATGTCAGTATTTTTTCTCACACTCTGTCTTTAGCTGCCATCATCATGGGACAATTATCCATGCTTTCCTGCATCAAAACCCTTAATTTTGTAATTAAAATTCAAATCTGAAAAATAAAATAAAATTCAAACCTATTAACCTTAAATTCATCTTCCTAAGTCTAAACTCAACTGATAGTTTACTGTCCACTCAGATGTCTAAACTCTTTATGTAGTTTATTCCAGCAATATAAATATAAAAGTATATTAAAAAAAGAAACAAGCCTTTAAATAAAAGTAAAATGATTTCTTACATCTATTAATCCTCTCCTTGGCGTATGCACTGTTATCATAGCAGCACTGTCCAACATGAAGGTAATCTTGTAATTTGCATTTGTGCTCACTCCCAGCTCCTAGAAATACACAATACTCGTATGGTTAAAATATAATAATGTAGAAATTCCAGATTTTCTGAATATTCTAGCTACAACTTCCCATTATGCCAACTTTCTACCCTCCTGGCCACCACCTGCTACTTAACAACTGGCAAGCATTTTAGTTTCATTTAGCTAAGTCAATAAATAGCAGTCCAAAGAAAGAAACTAGAGATTACTTCCCAATTCATTATTTTAAAAGAGCTTTACTCCTTTAAGTATCAAACACCAGAACAAAAAGAAGAAAACATTATAATAAATTGGGAGAGAAGAGAAAGGAGAGCTTTGCTGTATGTCTTGAAAAAGACATAGGTATTTAACTTAATATAATCCACCATCACACTAAACACAATTCTAACTCCTGTATTGTTTATCCACTAAATGTTCTCCAGTGAGAATGAAATTAATTCAATTAGAAACTTAAAAAAAAAGACAATTATAGTTGCAAGACATTCTTATATGGATTGTTTTTTGATACTTACTTTCATTTTAGCTTCAATCCACTTCATATTTGTAGCAGCTAAAACATAAGGAATACAAGACACATGAAAAACGTGAATTTCACTTTAAAAAAACCTTTCTTCTGTATAGTTTTCTAAGCAACACTAAAATTTTAATCAATTACATATTTTATAAAAATAAATTTAATGTGTATCTTTAAGACAGAATAAAACTTAACTACTTTTACATTACAGGGGTGGGGAATGTCCGGTCCATGGCCATATAACACCTACAAAATCATTTAGTCTGGCCCTGCCAAGGCATTAGGATGAGTTAATTAAATGTTTAACCCAAATATAGAGGGCTAATTTTTAAGTTGGTAATTTTGTTTGGCTCATGAATGATGTTATAAATATCCAAATGGCCCTTGGCAGAAAAAGGTTCCCCACCCCTGATCTAAAAGATACAGGTAACCAATGCTGAAAGAACTGTGAACCTAGGAAATGTGTAAGTCAAGACTTAAATTCTCTTTAAAAATGGCCTAATACTATTCTCTATCAGTTCCAAACTTAAGTTTAGGGTGTCTGGATGCCCATTTTTTTCTATCCAGGCAATGCACAAGTATATACGTCAATATAGGCAGATTAGTATTATATGTCAAAAGTTAACATCAGCCTGGCCTCAGTGGCTCAGTAGTTGAGTTAATGGTGACCTATGAACCAGGTCACGGTTCAATTCCCAGTTAGGGCTTATGCCTGGGGTTGTGGGCTCAATCCCCAGGGGGGGCGTGCAAGAGGCAACTGAGCAATGATTCTCTCTCATCATTGATATTTCTATCTATCTCCCTTTCCTTTTCATTTCCTCTCTGAAACCAATAACAAATAAATTTTTCTAAAAAGTTAACATCAAAGATTAGATAGGTTCAATGAATTTTATCAGGCTCACCAAACTCTATGCTCATTGAGTCTAACAACTTTTAACAGTCTGAGACAACTATATTCATAAACTGATCTATGTTATATATCTGTTTATTATCCAGTTTTGAGATCAATGATATTAAAATATTAAGCCCTCATCTTTATGTACCCTCCTGGTTTCAAATTACTGGACTAAACCAAATAGGTATTACAAAGCAAAATGTTTATAAAAGGAAAAAGTTCAATTATTTAAGTATGTGTATGTGTACTGTTTTAGGGCAATGGAGGTACAGAGAGGTGTTCTCAAAACAAGTTCTCTTTAGCACACAACTACCAAAAGAATCACCTTCCAGACTGGTGAATCCACAATGACAACAATCATGAGAGAAAAAAATAATTTTTAATTCAGTATACATTTCAGGTTTCTAATTTTTAGATGAGAAACAAAAAGATTCACAGCTAATGAAAAGGGCTTCTAATTACTAAGTAATCATTATATACTAAGTGCCATAGTATTAGGTAATATACCTATATATTTTTTACAACTACTCTGTAATATAGACTTATTTATCTTCATTTCTCAGATGAGAAAACTAAGGCTCAGACAGATTAACTGACCTACCCAGTATCACATAGTAATACTATGAGCCAGAATTCAAACCCTACTCTATTTAGCTTTCTTCTATGTCTTAAAACCAGAAAATTATGTATTTCAGTATTTACTTTTAATGGCTGTGAACCTGTATTACCACTGAACAATAGAGTTGCAGATTACTAGGAAAAGTACAAAGGAAATTTACAGACTGAAAAATATTATGTGGCCTCTCATCAAAAACCTAGTAAAATTAAATGTAGTATCTTCAATTGATTAGATTTTATTTCATTCACAATCAGGATAGGTCCTCTGTACTTATGGCATTGCCAGAGGCAACTTTGCATGTTTGTGGGAAGGTGAGATGTATATTAATACACCACTTCCCTTATCAAGAAAGTCTTGCAACAAAACAAAAAAAAAAAATTGTCAACTGAACTAAACAATGTGCTCAGTAATGTAGTAAATTCACTTTTCAAAGCAAATTCATTACGTTTATCTTATCACAAACCTGTAAGTTCCTAGAATGGTCCATAGACCACAATTTGTTATACCGATTAAGTCCATTCATTCATTTTCCTTAAGTAAGTTCACACTGCCTTTCTTTATTTCTGAAGAACCACATCACTATGATTTTTAAAATATATAAATTCTCCAAGTATTTTGAAACTAGAGTGATGAAGAAAGAAAGCAACAATTCCCTGAAGCATCGATTCTACAATAAAAATCAGAAAGAAAAGTTCCTAATCAAGGGGGTGAGGGGAATCTTATGAATATAAGGCCATTTTTATCTGACACCAAAATCCACTATCTTCCTATATTTAACTATTTCAGCAGTACTTGGCAACTATGTGATGCAAGAAAGTCAAACATGATTATTAAAAACTTGCTAAATCAAATGAAAATGTATCATATTTAAACATAGATCATTTTAAGTGACACTTTATAAAGCAGAATATAAGGAACAACATTATTTCCATGGAAAGCTAAACAAACAAACAAACAAAACATATATATATAGCTTACACCAAATAACAATGTCATAATCCTCATATGCAGATGTTAGGAATTCATGAAGATATGGTCGCATTAATTCTACCCCAGTCTCTGCACAAGACCTATGGTCTAAAAGAAAATCAGTCATAGATGATTATTAGATTATGTGGATAAGTACCTAATATCAAATAAACTTAGGAAATCAATATATATAAAAGCCTAAGTGACCATCTGACCCATAGCTATGATGCACAATGACCACCAGGGGGCAAACACTCAACGCTGGAGCTGCCAAGCTGCGTTGACTTGGCACCTGAGGTTCTTGGGTGACACACCTAGAACCAGAGAGAAGGGAGCCTGATTCTGGGGTGCATCCCCTGAGAACAACCCTCTCACAATCTGGGACCCCTCAGGGAATGTCAGAGAGTCGGTTTTGTTCTGATCCCTGCAGGCCAGGCCAAGTGACCCCATCGGTGCATGAATCTGTTCACTGGATCTCTAGTGTATTAATAATATGCACACTCACAAGCAAGCTATAACACTTCAGACTGACATACATTGACTGACAAAGAGGTGACTCCAAAGCACACAATTCAATATCTTTGTGATCCAATTTTAATTTGTCAATTCTATTCAATTTGTGAAGAAGAGCAACAGCCAGAACTCAAGCTTATATAGTAAGGTATAGAATTTTTTTTTTGTCATCTAGTCTCTCAAGTATAGATGTTACTTTACAATATGTAAAACAAACTAGGGTACTTATTTTCACTTTGAATCATTCACCTTCCAGATATAATCACATTTCACCAAACACAGGTACAATTAACTTATAGTCAAATTTTAAAATAAGTATACTTTAACTTATATCATGTACTTAAAGTTTAGGATAGTGGTAAGTAAATTCTTTCTAATATCAGGAGTAAACTAATCATTTCTTGACAATAGTAGAGGGGGAAATGAACATCTTTCTAATTTTAAAGAATCGGCCCTGAAGATAATTTAAATTTTAAATTCAAAAATCAGCCCTGAATATAATTAAACAGAAAACCAGGGTTAATATCAAAAATGCTTTTTTAAAAATCCTCATAAAAATTTAAATGTTAATCAGTAGGGAATGACTTGGTAGCCTATATATCTAGTCAAAAAACTAGAATTCTGTGTAACAAAAAACATATATATATATATTTCATTCACAATAAATATTAAATGAGAAAATATTCAATATATCATTAAGCAAAAGTAATAAAAATATACATACAAATACACCTTAAAGATACACAAAACTATAAAAGTGGTCATCTTTGGGTCTCAGGATTATAGAGAACTTTTTATTCTTATATGTCTTTTCTACAATGAATGATTTTCTTTTGTAATAAGAGAAACTTTCAAATATTTCGTATTGCAAGGAAAAATAAATAAAAGGAGAAAACGTGGATAACAGAAGATGAAACATAATTTTAGCCGACTTACCAAATAACGTATAATCAACATCTAGTACCAAAAGCTTTTTCCCTTCCCTGGGTGGGTTCAAAATTTCCACTTTGTATTCTTTCACTCTGCGAGAAATTTTCAGTAGGTTTTCTTCCCTAATGGAAAAATAAAATCAGATGAAACATTCATTTCTTTCTCATATTACAACCAATTTTCTTCGGTAGTGAAAAGCACTTACCTATTTTCTACCTCAACTACTTCATCTTCAATATCAAAGTCATTGACAACATCATCATTGTCAGGAGGTGGGCCTAAGACATCTTCCTATAAAGATGAAAATGTTTTATTTTACCATGTTATCTTTAACACATAAATACAAACATAGTATTATATAAAACACAAATGAGAGATTGAGTTCAAGTTTTTCAAGCACACACTGTGGAAAATTTTTCATAATTTGCTATAGACATTCACTGGGCAGATCTGCCATGTTAAATTTGACCATTTGCACTATAATACTTACAGCTATACTAATAAGTTCCCCAGTATTTTTTCTGTGGAGTTGATACCACATTCACCGTGCAGTTATTTTTTAGTTACTACTAAACTGACAATTTTACAATTTAAACTGTGATACAGAAATGCAATGTAAATCATATTATCTTCACAGGGACAAATGGTAACAAAAGTAAACATTTACCAAGCTCTCCTCACGAGTTCCCATCATCATGATTTTAGTATTTGGTTTCAGTTTGAGAGCTCCAAGCTTAACATCATTTTCTGCAGGTTTGCCTACAATACAAGCAAATGACTGTTTTCTCACTAAAGTTCAGGTGCTGGTTTCACTATCCTATTATACAAAACCCTAACAATAATAGATTCAGAACAGATCCCACAGCAGTACTTTTTTCCCTTAAATTAACAAACTATTACTGCTGTATTCGGAATTTCCAACACTCCAAGAAGTACCAACTAATACAACGTTTGATTTTTCCCCAACTCTGTCTGAAGTAACATCCTTACTCAACTCACTAAACAAAATAAATTAGTGGTTTTACTGTTAAAGATGAAAATAACTGTTTTCCAAAGTCTTGAAAATTGGACACCTAAAATCACTCACTATAGATTCAATGCACTCAAAACACCTTTCAATGATATGACAAACATAGACACATGAACATCCCTTTTAGACTGGATATGAACATTGCATATAATTGCTAAGCATTATTTTAAATTATCAATACTTTCAAATCAAAAAAGATAATTTGGAGAGAGTACAAGGCCCAAACTATTATGAAAAACTTGTGGTAGAGGGCAAATGTTAAAACTTAGTCTTACCTGGGACTTGTGTGACAAATATTTAACATGCAAACACCATCAAAGGAATCCAAAGGAATCTTTTATATATAATTTTTTCTTTATTAAGATATTACATATGTGTCCTTATCCCCCCTCCCCATTACTTCTACCCCCCTCACTCATGCCCTCACCCCCCTGGTGTCTGTGTCCATTCATCTTAATCCTGGTGGTATTTTCAAGTAACATTTAATAGTCTTCCTTATATCACATAAAAATTTTAGGAATAGCTCTATCAAATAAATCTTCCAAAGGGACTTATTGAAGAGGATAATAAATAAAAATTCATATCAATGCAAAAAAATCTAACATGAGAGAATTACCTTTAACTTTAAGTCCAAGTAATTTCTGTCGTTCTGGTAGCACTCCTGTAAGGGTCTTGAGAAACTGTTTGAGATCCAGCACAGTATCATCTTCTGAAAGTGTGGTCACTGAATATTCCTGTCCACCCCATTTTACAATGATAGGGAGAGCCATCCTTAAAACATATGTTGAGGCAACTTTTGTTCAGAAAAATACACCTAGAAGAAAGGCATATACAGATAGACAAGTTAAAATAAATACAAAATAAATATCAAAGATGTATCCAAACCTGTAACTTTGTTTTTGTTGTTTTTTGATATATTTTTTATTTCAGAAAGGGAGAAACATCAACGATGAGAAAAAGTTGATTGGCTCCTCCTGCACGACCCCACAGAGCCCACAACCAGGAATGTGCCCTGACCAGAAATCGAAACCCAACCTCCTGGTTCATAGGTTGACACTCAACCACTGAGAACCACACAGGCCAGGTTTTAAGTTTTATAAGTTGGGTTCTATTTTACAACTTGATGATAGAGAAGCAGGACTTTCTTACAGTAATGTTATCAGAACGCCAAAGGTTACCAGGACTCAAAGTTACAATTCCCCCAAAACTTCTTCATATTCTATTAGATTCTCTCTGTTCACCTGGAAAGTTGTAATAATGAGCTACCTTTCCCTCCCTTTCTGATTGATCAGGTTTATGCTACAGGCAAGTTTCTCCATAATGGACCATTGTTCATTTAACATTTGGGAGGTAGCAGAGAGGGAGTTGTTAAGAGCACAAATTCTAGTGCCAGATTACCTGTGTTCAGCTCTTTCACTTATTAACTATTTGACTATGGGAGGTTCCTTGAATCTTAGTGCCTAGGCTTCCTCATCTGCAAAATAGAGATGATAATATTACCTACATCTTAGGGTTTTCATGAAGATTTAGTTATTTCATATTTATGTCATACAGTACCTGCACCAAGTAAGCATTATATAAGTATTGGGGAGGAAATTTTTTTTTAAAAAGCGTAACTCAAGTGTTCCATTTACTAAATAAATAGTAAATGGCCATTATTTGTTTCATATTTAATACATTGGACAGTTTTTATGGAGACTATCTCGTTTAACAAGATTGTTTGATAAGAACTGGCCCACTTTTACAATTAAGGAAACAGGAGTTCTGAGAGGTTAAGTAATCTGTTCATGAGTATATAGCTGGTAACAGGTCTTCTGACTAAATTTCATGTTGTTTTTTTTTTCCTACACCATCACTGTCTCTCTTGAACTGAACCTACAGACATCAAAGATCAACAAACACAAAGCCCAGAGGTGCATATATAAGCACACAGAGATGAGGTAGCAGCTGCTGTGCTCAAAGACAGCATGTATGGCTCCTCCCTCATAAAGCTGTCTACCAGTTTTCATTAGTTTGTTCTCTCCGCATACATCAGAGAACTGGATTTCCTAATATCAAGTACTGCTGTAGCCAAATGCTATCCCGCATTTATTGAAACCTTTGAATGTGCTGCAAGAGAGAAGGCAAATTCTTAACATGCAAAAATAATTTGAAAACCGTAAGGTGTCAAGTGTCTTCAATGTGTCTGGTTAAACGAGAACACCTCAAACTCACTTAATTTACTCTTATGTTTACAGCCTGCTCTACTAAGGAATTTAAATAAAGCGTGTTACTTTAGAGCAAAGCCCTTCATGTTAGCGCGAATCTGCTCTCATAAATGTTACGATCTTCAATAAGAAGTCAAATGAATCAAATTGAAATAGGTTTCATATTACTATACAGACTAGAAAACTCAAAGAAGTAAAACAACTTGCCTCAAAGTATTTTTTTGCAAAGGCGTGCATTACAAAGTAACAGCAGCAAAAGGTAAACATCTCGGGGACTTAGGGGATGTTAAGGAGCCTAGTAAACGGTTCAGAAAGTACTCCTTTCACCTCCTGGCCAGGACAGCACCACAGCAGCAACCGGGAGGCGGTGCAGAGCCGAGCGCTGTGGGAAGGGACAGGTATGGAATCGCCTAGAAAAACAGGCAGCGAGCCCTAAGTCTATAGGGACAGTGACGGGGGAAGAGATGCTCAAACCCCAGAAGAGGAAGGAATGAAGTTTGGGTAAGCCAGGTCCACTGCGGCGCGGGAAGCCCTAACCCTGGGCAAGGAGGCCGGAAGGGAGGGCGGCGGCCCCAGCGACCCGCGCGGCCCAGGGCCGGGGCCGGAGGCCTGGGCGCCGGACCAGGGCAGGCGCGGTCCGGGCGCCCACCGGCAGCCCCCAGCCCGCCGCGGCGGCGGCATTGGGGTCCCCGGGACGGCAACGTTGCGGGGACCCAGCCCACGGCATCTCGGGGGGCAGCACGCCGGGGTGCCCGAGTCCCTCACCTGGAGAGCGGCGGGGCCGTCGGCGGCGGACGCAGGAACCTGCGGCGGCGCGACACAAGGCACCGGAAGTGGAAGGCAGAGACAGGAACCGGCTGACGAACCGGAAGTTAGGTTTGAACCGGAAACGTGCTGGAGACCGGGTCACGGTTTGCCTTGTTTTTCTGTAGTAATGCTGGGTAGCTGCTGCCAGGATTTCCTCATGGTGACGGTGGAGCCAGGCCTTTCCGAGACGGACCACCGTGCAGAGGCTAGGACCGCTGGATGGCCGACGGCCTTCGCCTGTGCTGCGCATGCGCCAGTTAGTGGGGTCCGAGCTAGGGGGTGTTGGGGGGGGTGGGTGTGAGGTCTCAGGGATGGTTCCGAGCGCGGCTTGCCCAGGTGTGCTGCGTTCTTCGTGGAACTCGGGCCTAGTGCCCATGTTCCGAGTGAGGCCTGAAAGGTAGTGACCTTTGAGGATTGAAGCCTTGAGAGCCTTCCCTGGCACCAGGAGCCAACAACACAAGTAATTTCAGCTTTAGAAGTCTCCCCATTTTTATGCAATCCAGGACGGGGTGGGGGGTCGGGAGTGGAGAAGGGAGAGAAGATTGTTAGGAAAAGGAAGGGGCAGGCCTCAGTGACTCAGAGAACGAAGGAAGCAAATGTGAATAGAAGAGCTGCCCTGGAGATTTGTATAGCATTGTGTCAAATAGTATCGCCCCCCCCCCCCCCCCCCCGCCCATTCCCACCTCCGTTCCCTCTGAAAGAGGAAAGCTCATTACAAACCCTGACGAAAGAGATCCAGATTTTAATGGAAATTCAGAGCGGTCCCTATCGGATCCATACAGCGAACTTCCAGCTTGCATTAGGTTATTTACTTGCTGTTAGCCAGTAAATGAAAACAAACAACAACAAAAACCTGCTACGTTGTTGTATATAGCACCAAACAAAACCTAGTTTTGAAAAGGAAGGGAAAACGCGAAAGTAATATTGGCCTCCAAATATGCATCAGTCCTAGATTTACCCATATTTTGCCTTCTACTTGACGGCGCTGTTATGGAAGTAAGCGAAGAGACAAGTTCTGTTAACTAACAATGGTTTAGTTTCGATGTGCACTGTTTTATGTTCTCTTTCGGTAATTTTTATTGCACTAATGCATGAATATCTGCTCCTTTCTAAAAACAAAGCATATTTTCAGAAAATTTATGCCTTCTTACCTTTAAAAAAGGGGGAGGGGGTGAGGAAAGCCCCAAATTAAAAGAATTTGTACAAAAAATCATGCATTAGCAACCCACCAAAGAAATGATCAGAAGACAACGGACTAGACGTTGTTCAGCTGCTTAGCCACTTTTATATTTTTTGTTGTGATTAAAGAGTTTTGTTTTTGTTTATCATCAAGGTCAACTAAACTTTGAAGCTTCACTGATTCTAAGCAACACGATTCGTAAAGCGATTCTTGCCAATAATGGAATAGACATTGTACAAAGGGTCTGATAAGTTTGGTATTACTAGAGTAGACAATTTAATAATTATCAAGTGTTGAACAATATGTAGTATTTCTCAGAGAATAATGGTAGCTGAGTATTTTAGATAAATGGTCCGTTTAACAGATTATTTTTAAGTTATCTTTTGCCCAGCTCTCAGTCCACTTCTATTTAGCTACGCATTGATGAATTCATAAATAATGTTAACGAAACTCTTGGAGTAGATTGTAAGATATCTCTTGAATATAGGAACTGGACTCTTGGTAACTAGGGAAGAACACAAAGGTGACCTAAGAAAGGGCTTACAGTAACTCACAACGACCAATAAAAGGAGAAAAATTAAACTTTTGCCTCCTGTTGCGCATTAAAACCTCTCTTCTAATGCATGAAGGATGATATCCTTGTGCCTTCATACTTCTCTGCAGCAACTAAACATGCCTGGGAATTCCTTCATAGAGTTTTGATAGATTGTCAGGTCTAAGAGACTAAAAGAAATATGGAACTAATGTCACAAAATCAGGTGATAGGCCTAGTTGGTTTGACTCAGTGGATAGAACATGGTCTGCGGACTGAAGGGTCCTGAGCTTAAATTTGATCAAGGATTTGTGCCTCAGTTGTGGGCTCAATCCCTAGTAGGGGGCGTACAGGAGGCAGCCAATTAAGGATTCTCTCTCATCATTGATGTTTCTATCTCTCCCTCTCTCTTCCTCTCTGAAATCAATAAAAATAATTTTTTGCCGAGACCCGTTTGACTCAGTGGATAGAGCGTCGGCCTTCGGACTGAAGGGTCCCAGGTTTGATTCCGGTCAAGGGCATGTGCCTTGGTTGCCCTGATTGATGTCTCTCTCTCATCGATGTTTCTAACTCTCTATCCCTCTACCTTCCTCTCTGTAAAAAATCAATAAAATATATTAAATAAATAAATAAATAAATAAATAAATAAATAAAACTTATTTTAAAAAATAAAAATACTTTAAAAAAAAAATCAGGTGATAAACTATCACTGTGACCATGTTTGGATTGGAAGACAAAAGGACATTCTTGTACCCTAGTCATCCTGCTTTTATCTCCATCTTCCCTGACCTGTTTTCTTCCTTTCCTTTTCTCCAGCCATTGTTTTCCTCTCCTTCCAGTTGAAAAACAATCCTTTTTTTTTTTTTTAAGTTCACTGGAGCACTCTGTTCCTCTGTTCTAATATCTGTTACCTTGCCTTTAACCTGATTGCAAACAGTGAGCTGAAAGTGGTCAGAATCTGCCTCACAGGACAGACTGTACAGGCCCTTTATTCAGCCTGGCAAGTTTACTACATGTTCTATTCAACTTCCTTTCCAAAACGAC